CCTTTTCAGTTGTTGCATAGTTAATTTGATTTTCATTCACCACCTTTCTTGCATAGTGAATAACATGAAAAAATTTATCCTTCCTTTGGCCCAAAGCAGCTCCTATAGCATAATCACTAGCATCACACATTAGTTCAAAATCAAGTTTCCAATCAGGAATAGTGATTATAGGAGCTGAAACAAGCTTGATTTTTAACAATTCAAAAGCCTGTAAACAATCATGATCAAAATCAAACTTGTTATTTTTAAGAAGAAGGTTACTGAGAGGCTTAGCTATCTTGGAGACATCTTTGATGAATCTTCTTTAGAATCCTGCATGCCCCAAGAAGCTTCTGATCCCCTTCACATTGATTGGTGGTGGCAACTTTGAGATGATATCAATCTTGGCTAGATCTACCTCTATGCCCTTCTGAGAGACTTTGTGGCCAAGAACAATGCCTTCTCTGACCATGAAGTGGCATTTCTCCCAATTCAACACCAAATTAGTCTCTACACACCGCTTGAGAACAGTGTTGAGATTGTTAAGGCAAACTTCAAAGGACGAGCCGAACACGGAGAAATCATCTATGAAGATTTCTATGCATTGCTCCACTAGATTAGAAAAAATTGCAAACATGCAACGCTAAAAGGTAGCTGGTGCATTACACAATCCAAATGGCATCTTCCTATATGCAAATACACCGAAGGGACAAGTAAAAGCTATCTTCTCTTGGTCTTCCAGATCCACAACAATCTGATTGTAACCTGAGTAACCATCCAGACAACAATAGTAAGCTTGCCCTGCTAACCTTTGGAGCATTTGATCCATGAAAGGCAAGGGGTAGTGATATTTTCTGGTGGCTTGGTTCAACTTCCTGTAGTCTATACACATCCTCCACCCAGTCACAGTACGAGTGGGAATCAATTCATTCTTCTCATTATACACCACAGTCATACCTCCTTTCTTAGGAACAACTTGAACAGGACTAACCCAAGCACTGTCAGAAATAAGATAAATCATACCAGCCTCAAGAAACTTGGTCACTTCCTTTCTCACCACCTCATTCATTGTTGGATTTAACCGTCTCTGAGGTTGAGCTACTGGCTTATATTCCTGTTCCATATGAATCTTGTGCATACAATAAGATGGACTAATCCCCTTCAAATCAGATAGGGTCCAACCAATAGCACCTTCATTGGCTTTTATCACTTGAATCAATTTATCCTCTTGCTCTTTTGAAAGATGGCTACTAATTATGATTGGTTTCCCACCATTTTATTCTAAGAAGACATTAATTGTGGTGGCAATTGCTTCAATTCCAGCTTCACTGTCTAATCTTTTTCATCCTTCTTCAATTCTTCCTTTGACTAAACATTGGTTGATGAGCTTTCACCTTTGTTCAATGCATCAACCACATCCTGGACTTCCTTATCTATGACTTTATCCAACTCTTCATCAAACATAGACAAAGCTTTCTCCAATGGTGATGAATTCTTGAAATTGCTTTGAGTTTCTAGATACACATCATCTAATACATCAATTCTGAAACAATCTTTATTGCCCTTGGGAAACTTCATTGCTTCAAAAACATTGAAATTCACCTCTTCATCTTGAACTCTCACCTTCATATTTCCATCATCCATGTCTATGATAACTCGAGCTGTCTTCATGAAGGGTCTGCCCAGAATCAATGGAACTTCCACATCTTCTTCCATGTCCATTACTACAAAATCAACTGGGAACATGAACTTGTCAACCTTTACTATCATATCTTCCACTATGCCATGTGGAAGCTTAATAGATCTATCTGCCAACTGTAAGGTCATTCTTGTAGGTCTTACTTCCACTTCTCCTATCTTCTTCAGCATAGATAAAGGCATCAAGTTAATATTGGCTCCAAGTTCTAAAAGTGCCTTACCCACTGATAGATTACCAATTGACACTAGGAGAGTGAAACTTCCTGGATCTCTGGATTTTTTAGGTAAAGACTTCTGTATAATAGCACTGCATCCTGCCTCAAGCTCCATAGTCTCTTCTTCAAGAATTCTCCTCTTCTTAGTTAATAATTCCTTCATGAATCGAGCATAAGTAGGCATTTTCTCCATGGCTTCAGTGAAGGGAATACTTATCTGGAGCTTCTTGATGATATCCAGAAATCTCAAAAATTGTCTTTCTTTTTCTTTCTTGGAAGGAGCATGAGGGTAAGGTAAGTTTTTTACTGGAACTGTGGAAATGACTTCCTTGCCCTTCTTTTTATTCTTCTCCTTCTCAACTCCATTTCTCTCTCTTATTTTCTCACTATCTACACTCTCACTTTTATTGTTTTCTTCCTCGTTCTTCTCAATCTCTTCCTCAACCTCCTTCAGTTCACTATTTTCTTCTTTATTATCAGCACCCTCATTGTCACCACTCACCCCAATATCACTACCAACTACCTTCCCACTTCTTGTTGTTATGGCTTTGCAATGCTCCTTGGGGTTGGTCTTGGTATTGGCTAAGAATGGGCCTCCATACATGTCAGCTAATTGTTTAGCTAGTTGACCCACCTACACCTCCAAATTCTTGATGGATGCCTCTATGTTCTTCTGGTTGTTCATAGATACTTGCATGAACTGGTTCAGAGTATCCTCCAATTTGCTGGTTCTTTCATGCATATAAGGATAAGCAGGCCGTTGTTGTTGATGTTGTTGTGGTGGTGGCCTATTGGATGGTCGAGCTTCATTACTCCATCCATATCCCTGGTTGTTATTGTTCCTCCAACCTTGATTTCCCTGCATATAATTTTTAGTATTATAATTACGGGAATTAAAATTACCTCCTTTTTGTTGATTGCCCACATAGTTAACCTCTTCTTCATTTGAGTTCTCAGAACAGTGGCCATTGGGATGATCTCCCCCACAAAAATCACACTTTAAAGAAGAATTTGATTGAGCTGGGGAAGAAGCAATAGCGTGAAGCTGCTGTGGAATCTTGGCCATCTGCTTAGTCAATGCTTCAATTTGTTGAGATAGCATCTTGTTTTGAGCAAGGATTACATCATTTGTACTTAGATCAAGAACTCCTCTTTTATGAGATTTGTGTCTTCCATGCTCTGCTTGGTGATCAGAGGATGCCAAAGATTCTATGATTTGAGTAGCTTCCTCTAGGCTTACTGTCATCATGGTGCCACCAGCTGCTGCATCCAATAACATTTTCACCTCAGTCTTGATTCCATTAACAAAGAAATTGAGTTGAGCTATATCCTCAAACCTGTGGTTAGGACATTTTCTGAGTAATGACTTAAATCTTTCCCAGGCTTCACAAAATGGTTCATCTGCACCTTGCCTGAAAGTAGTAATTTCTGATTTGGCCTTAATATACTTGGATGAAGGATAGAATCTATTCACAAACTTTTTTTCCACATCACCCCAGCTTGTCAAACTTTGATTCGGGTGAGATTGTAACCAAACTTTAGCTTTTCCTATTAGAGAAAATGGAAACAACCTCAAGTATACAGCTTCCTCATCACCTTCAGGAATTCCCATTGTTCCACATAACTCATAGAAATTTGAAAGGTGTAAGTATGGGTCCTCATGATCAAGGCCAGCAAATTGTTGTGAGCTAACCAAAGTAAGGAATGCAGGCTTCATCTCCATGGCTCTAGAAGTATTTGGAGCTGCAATGCTAGAGAAATGCCTAGGACCATGTTGTTGTGCGTAATCACCTAGGGTCCTTCTAGGAGGCCTAGCTGGTCCATGTCCACCATTATGAGTGCCTGTTCTTTCTTCAGCCATTTCTGTTTCAAGGTGTGGTTGATTTGATGAAGTAGAAGAACTTGGAAGATCTTGTTGTTGTTTTTGGAGTCTCTCTAACTTTCTAAGCCTTCTTGTTCTACTATTGTTCCTCCTTGCCGTTCTTTCAATTTCAGGATCAAAATGCAATTCTTCAACTGGAGTTTTTCCTCGCATGCAAATTCAAGAAGTCTGCACAAGAGGGTGAGTCCACAAAACACAACAAGACAAATATCTCTATATTCTAAGTATTCACAAAATAATTTATTTAAAAAATTACAAAATCACAAGATTAAAAATTACTAAATAGCACCAAATCCTTGGCAACGGCGCCAGAAACTTGATGAAGCTTTTTCACAATATCTCCACTTGGCAAGCAGACCAAGTTTCGAAGTAGTATTTGAATATCGTCCTCAGGGATTTGAGTGTTTAGTAATTCTTTACTCTAATGATCCAATAAAATATGTTGATGGAATTGCATTTGAGTTAAGATGATGTAAATCAACACAATGATATAAAATTAATAACAATAATTTTAAGAAACAAGGATTGGTTCAGAAGTATTTGCTAACTTGTAGATCTTCTTAAAATTAATGCGATTATAATTTCATTATTTCCATGTTCACTTAGTAATCCAACAAGATTCCTCAAGGTTGAATCCTAAAGTCATTAATATCAAAACATGATTCCTCTATGTTTTGAGTTTAACACTTCGCATTAAGAATAGTTACTTGAACAATGTGACTAACCAAATCAAGTCTATTCCTAGAACGAGAAATGATTAGGTGCAAGATTCAGTTCGGGTTTTCAAAAATGTTTTCCAACTGGATTCAAAAACCAAAATCATACCACGGGTGATCAAACCGATCAAAGCATTAAGTAAAGAATCAAGCACAAATAATGAGATCAAAATGCATATATTTAAGAAGAAGAAGAGTTAGTAGTTACATCCAACCAATCTTTAATGAGTTTAGCCACACATGGCCATTACAAGATCCAAGAGTGAAAGAAGAAATTACAAAGTAAAGGATGAAGAAATGGAGTTGATCTTCGTTCCCAAAGGATTCAGCTTCCAAATCTTTGTTCTTCCTATGTTCTTCCCCCTTCACATGCTCCTCAATTTGTTTTTCTTTGTGTTTTTTTGTGATGCCCTGTTTTCCTCTTTGTTCCCCTTTTATATCAGCTTCAAACAGGGGAGATTTGCAATTTTTTAACTCCATCGCTGTGGCTGTAGAACCACAGTTATGGCTGTGGAGAGTCCTTCAAGATGAAGCAACTCCTGGCACTGCAGCTATAGCTCCATAGCCATGGCTGTGGAAACTCCTTCATGATTAAGCAACTCCCTAAGCTATAGCTGTGAAACCACAGCTATAGCTGCAGAACCACAGCTATAGCTGCAAGTTTCTGGCGTTCAAAATTTCTCCCCAGATTTCCACAACTATAGCTCCAGAACCACAGCTATGGCTGTGGAACTCTGTCTTCTCAATTTTTCTACAAAAATGGAGGGAAAACATTAAGATTTTGCTACTACTCTTCTACCCTTTTAGTATACTTTGGTTCTTCCAATTTAGGGGTAAAATAACATATATAAATATCTACAATTACCAAAAAGAGTACCAAAAGTTGAGTGCAAATCATACATAAAAGACACTCAACAGAGCTACACCTGAAAGTGTTACTTGGGAGCTAGAGGAGAAGATGAAGGAGGCATACTCGAACCTCTTCGTTCAGGTAAATTCGGGGATGAATTACTTAAAAGGTGGGGCGAATTGTAACACCCTGTTTGTTTAGAAAATAATATTATATTATTTTTTATATTTTGGGGTTAAAAATATTGAATAATATTATTAAGGGAAAAATATTTTTTATTATTATTTATATTTATTTTGTTACATGATTTTGAGAAAAGGGAGAAGCAGGTTGGGAAGGGTAATGTGTAACAGCCCAATTTTCACATACCGGTAGCAAATAGAATACTTAGAGGAGTACTTCAGAATCCACCTAACATCTGAAGTGGTTTATTATATAACCTTTAGAAAAGTTCCACATTGGAATCCTCACCATGCGATTCCCAAATTCCATATTTTTCCAAAGATTATATCCTGATCTGACTAAGAGATCTAATCCATACCATAACCTTACTCCTCTAAGTCCTATAGCTTTCCAAACCATACACACATAGCATATTCCATAATTACATACAAACTTTTCCATAACCATGCCAAATCATTCAGTATAATAATAAGTAATTAAACACCTAAAACAACCATCAACTTAAACAAATGACAATTTTCATATAAACAAAATAGCATATTAAAAGTTATACTACCCATATCATGCTCATACATACTAGATTAAGTCTTATAAGTACTACCCTTACTTGGATAAACAGAAATTGAAACTAGGGCAGAACCTCCTCCTCTCCCTCCTCTTTTTTTTCCCCTGGCAGAACCTCCTTCTCTGGGTTTCTCTTCCTTTCTCTCCTCTTTTCTTTCCCCTCCTCTCTCTTTCTTTCTCTCTCTCTCCTCTTTCTCTCTCTAGGATCTCCTCTCTCAAATTCTAAATTTTCCAACACCCCAGCCCCTATTCATAGAGTTCTGCCTCACCTGAATCGGAACGGCTCGTTTCAAAAAGTGGAACGCCCCTTCTGGGCCCGAAAAATCTACGTAAGTTTTAGAACTGGAACGACCCGTTCCAAAACTAGAACGGCCTCATAGTACAACATAATGAAATATCATTAAACTAAATATTCATCAACAGTATGTATCCATACCAAGGGAATGACAACATTATAACAAGTCATTTCCATACCAAATATAAACCAATCCAGAATCTAATGTATACACGTCCATGCCAATGCATACATATTTTATGATAATAAAGAATCAATAACCAATGTATACAATCCATACCATATGTATACATATTCCACATCCAAAACAAAGTTACACCTCTGTATAATTCCATGATGTAACCAACACATCCAAACCAAATGTTGGCCTCAACACATCTAAACCAAGTGTTGATTCGGTGAAACATGTCATCAACCCATGTCACACACCTAACCTCTCATGGAAAATATACAATTGAATTATGCCATCACGTAACCCTGATGATCATGGCCACTTCATCCATCGGTATGACTCGGCCTTGCCTCCATACCGGTAGCAAATAGAATACTTAGAGGAGTACTTCAGAATCCACCTAACATCTGAAGTGGTTTATTATATAACCTTTAGAAAAGTTCCACATTGGAATCCTCACCATGCGATTCCCAAATTCCATATTTTTCCAAAGATTATATCCTGATCTGACTAAGAGATCTAATCCATACCATAACCTTACTCCTCTAAGTCCTATAGCTTTCCAAACCATACACACATAGCATATTCCATAATTACATACAAACTTTTCCATAACCATGCCAAATCATTCAGTATAATAATAAGTAATTAAACACCTAAAACAACCATCAACTTAAACAAATGACAATTTTCATATAAACAAAATAGCATATTAAAAGTTATACTACCCATATCATGCTCATACATACTAGATTAAGTCTTATAAGTACTACCCTTACTTGGATAAACAGAAATTGAAACTAGGGCAGAACCTCCTCCTCTCCCTCCTCTTTTTTTTCCCCTGGCAGAACCTCCTTCTCTGGGTTTCTCTTCCTTTCTCTCCTCTTTTCTTTCCCCTCCTCTCTCTTTCTTTCTCTCTCTCTCCTCTTTCTCTCTCTAGGATCTCCTCTCTCAAATTCTAAATTTTCCAACACCCCAGCCCCTATTCATAGAGTTCTGCCTCACCTGAATCGGGTATTTTCGTAGCCTCTTCAGGCCGTAGTATTTTCGTAGTCTCTTCAGGCCGTAGTATTTTCGTAGCCTCTCCAAGCCGTAGTATTTTCGTAGCCTCTCCAGGCCGTAGTATTTTCATAGCCTCTTCAGGGCATAGTATTTTAGTAGCCTCTTCAGGCCGTAGTATTTTCATAGCCTCTCCAGGCCGTAGTATTTTCATAGCCTCTCCGGGCCGTAGTATTTTCATAGCCTCTCCAGGCCGTCTGCTGGTGTTGATGATATGATTGCCCCTTGACGGCGATTGTTGATAAGTGGTGCCCTTGTGTTGGTGGGCAAAGGAGTAGATGGTTGACAAAGATTCTGGTGTTGCCCCTGCCATGTGAGTATTGTGATGCCTCTCCAGGTGCAATGCTGAGTCCTTTTGATTCATTGATGATTGATTGTTGTGGAATGAAAGACTTCCCCTAAGTGGTTGGGCAGGAGATGTTTGTTGTGCCCCTGTGTTGGTGGGTGTCGCCACCGGCCCAAACGGGCCTCGGCGGTCGCGAAGACGGTCGAGCTCGCTTATTATTTTAGTTTTGAAAATGTATTGGATTATTAGAACGACTTGTTCTCAAACTGAGACCTTGTCGATCCTATCCAATTTATTTATTAAAACGTCTCACCAATCCATATTAATCCCAAGCGGGACCCTCCATGGATTAGTGGTTTTCGCAAAAGGAGGG